TACAAACTCGTAAAAGAGACAAACGTTCCACCGAAAACGGTTACACTCTCAATCCTCTTTCTGTCCTGGCCTGTCTATCCACTCTTTAACCTTTTCTCTAACTCCCATTCTATCACAACTTCTTACTTGTTTATACTCTACTCTTCGAAGTGAGAGTGTAGCCGTTTGCAGCAGAACGGTTTGTCGAGGGATTGACTTCACTTGTCTCTTTGACGAGTTCGTAGCTTGGCGCGGAGAATGGCAGCACTCACTGATGATACAGTCTTCGATACCGGCGAAACGTTTGAGAATGTACCAAAGTCCACTGTCTGATGCTGGGAATCATGACAACCACTCTGGCAGACGACTTCGGACAAGGTGCGTTTTACTAAGTCGCCCTGACAACAAGACCAAGTTGCGACAACGAGGTCAACCCACTACTATACATCGAAAAGGGACTGTGACCATACTGGAAACCACACCATTTTGGTCTTCATATCTTCGATAAAAGTGATCATAATCGAAGGTATGAAGACGAAGATGGTGCGGCCTTTTGTGTGGTCGCAGTCTCCTTTCGTTGGATAGAAGTTGTATGACCTTGTTTTCGCAACATGTCCTACCAATACGACCATGTTGCCCAAACAAGGTCATAGTTTGCAGAGCTACAGACAAACTTTTATTCTATCGAAAGTGCAACACTTCGGACAGACTCCTTCGTTCTCTTCACATCGTCATCTTTTCAATTGCACTCTTCACTAATCACTCGCAAATCTATTTTTGAGCAGGTTGCCATCGCAACTGGCGCCATCAGCGTCGTCATCACCTCCAGCGGGATTGTCGCTTTACGTGCACGGATTAGGTGCATTTGTCTGTAGCTTACACAAAATGCCCTTCCTGAGGGTCACTAGCAGGTTGGTTGCCAACGGGTTGGGTTGATTGGCAACTGTTTGCGGGCGAGAGGAGACAAGGTTTGCTGGCGTCTGCAAGAAGCAATTAAGTTCTATAAAGTATTTAATGAAAGTGAAAATATGGCGGACTGTCAGTTGGCCATTGGGAAGGGGTGAATGTTAAGGTCAAGGCATCTTGTGCCATGCGCTTGCAGACTGCCTCGAGGTCTCGATGGCCTAAACGTGCCTCATGGTCTCACAAGAACATGCCATCGACATCCACGACGTCATCGTCCGCGTCAGCATCGGCCTGACCGACGGCCGATTTGCCGTAACGAGCGATCACTCGCTTTATCCAGTCCGACGCGGCCGGCACCGACATGTAGATGCTGTAGGTGCGTCCGCAACCGGAAGCGCCGCCGTAACTGGTTATGCCGTAGAGTTGCCAGCGATTGGTATCCGGCGCCTTGCAGAAGAGACCACCTCCACTGTCACCTTTGCAGGTGTCCTGAAAAGAAGGAGGAGGAGGAAAAGTAGGAAGAGGAAAAGGAGGAAGAGGAGAAGAAGGAGGAGAAGAAGGAGGAGGAGGAGAAGAAAAAGGAGGAGTAGGAGGAGTAGGAGGAAGAGGGAGAGGAAGAGGAAGAGGAAGAGAAGGAGGAAGAGAAAAAGGAAAAGGAAAAGGAAGAGGAATATGAAGAGAAAGAGGAAGAGGAAGAAGAAGAAAA